CCAATGCCAGTGCCAAGCAGCCTGCCGCTGCTTGGGCTGCAGCGGCCTGGCAGAGCCTTTACCAGTGCATAGATTACAAAATGCAAAATAACCTGAATAATCAAAAGGCTACCAAGAAAAGTTAGTGTAAAAAGTGAAAGAGTGTAGAGTATTTTCTAGAGATACCATCAAAAATGACTATAAGCTTATTTAGAACATAACTGTCAAACCATCACACAATGTTTACCTGAGAATCACGTAAATTCAGTACTTCTTTGAAAAAATCGAATATCTACCAAAATGATCATCTAGCAAAATAAGTGATTAAGGCAAAAAATTTTGGAAGTGAAAATTACGATTAAAAAATGGTTTTGAACCGCCATTGAAAGCAGGGATACTGAGATGCTGTACCTTAAACAGTGCTATTCCCTTAACCCGGGAAAAACCCAATCAACTAGATTCCTCAGATACTTATACAAAATATATACACTTGAAAAATTAACTATAGGACATCGCAGAGGTCGACAAGAGCGAATCCATGATGTCTCAATGCACCATAACGACTGTGTAGCTAAAGAACATATATCTCATAAACTTGATTACCTTCTAAATTCACAATGTATCACATCATTCCAAATAATATATGAAATAAAGGTCTCGACAATAAGAGCACAAAAAGAGAAGTGCCAAATATACCAACAATGAGTCCTTCAGCTTTGGTTCTGTTTTCAAACTCACATCAGATACTAATGGCGCGGAACAACCGATGGCATGGTGGACAATTCTCTGAAGGCCGTCTCAAGGCATCTGAGTATTACAATAAAATGGCTCCAGATTCACAGATGGATGTAATTGTTACCTTCTCAAATCTCCGTATGAAACAATAAGCAGGTTATTGCCATCTCGCGACACAAGCTGCACTTTCTCGGACACACCCGCATCAAGCTAAATATTATTATCAACTATATAAAGGTGTTAAATTACTTTCCCGTGATTATATAATTTTTAAAGCTTATTCGTAAAATTTCGTCATTCAAATAGTGCATATAGTTTGAAAGCATTTTTCCCGCTCTACGTAACGTTTAGAGATTGAGCTTTTGAGCAAAAAAGTATTGATAAGAAATAATCATTACTATACCAAAAGCCTTCCAGTATTAGCTATTTTAACCATTTTTTTATAGCTCCGACATAGAAAGACGTGGATTGGTCCCCCTCCTCTTCTCCTCCTCTCACCTCCCTCCCCCAAGGCACGTCCTTTTTGAGCAATTCCTTTAACGTCCTTTCCAAGGAAAATTTTTTTTGAAAAAAAATTGGAAAGCGCAGTCAGCAAAAAATGATGAGTATGCAACAACCTGATAAAATTGGTACATGACCGAAGAATTCAGAATAAAAATCTTACTTTGTTAAGACACTGTACAATATGCGCCATATCCATCCACGGTTTGCCACTTTCCGTCACCTAAGGATAAATTGTGTAACCAATAGCACATCCATGTTGAAATGTATCACCTGATGAAAAACATAGTCGCGGAAAAGTTTGATCATAAAACGATCTCCAGTCTCCGACCATGATGGATCCAAATTAAACCTGCAAAATAAGCATCATTACAAAAATATGAGTAATCTCAGTTGGAGAGAAAGCATGATATTGGACTGCACTTGATAGGAGATAGAATGAAAGCATTCTATTGCTTTCACATACTAAGTGAAGTCGACCACTTTGCGACATAAGGAAATGGAGAAAACAACTAATTTCATCCCTCATTCCAAGCAGAACTACCACAGATTTTATGAATATATGAATGAATAGAAATGTACTCAGTTGTCAGTGTAAAGGCAATAGAGCAAAGAAAACCAGCACAATACCAGATAGTTATAAAAGAGGGCTTACTCAGGTCGCTCCACTATAGTGTTGATCTTCGCAAGTATACGAAACAATCGACCATTTTCTAGCTCCTGAAACAAACAACCTCATAAACTACTAGCTTGGAAAGTAAAGGAAAGTAAGCTTGTTTGCAACCTTTCATTAACTATAAACATCAGGGAAAAATACACGTTCAAAAAAAAAA